AGTTGACTGCTCTGGGAAGTTTTGCAATCGAGAATAATTTGCAAAAGACAATTATTAACCCTAGAATAGTATCGTGGTATGTAACACTCACTGTTGTGGGGTAATATATACCCACTTTTTTTTAATCAATAAAATGTATTTCTTTCTTTCTACAAAATATAATGGAAGCACTATGTTTCTTCTTCCATGTGAAGTATGAAATACATTAAAAAAATATATATATATATATATATATATATGCTTACCCCCCAATTCTGTTGCTTGCTTTTGTGGGTGTGCTTAGGAGATGGAGACTGAGGCCCAATGTATGAGATTAGCTTACCCCTAGCTTGGCTTTAGACCTTGCCTCAACTGATTTTGCATGGTCTCTTCTTCTCCCCCTTTCCTTTTCCTTCTCCTCTTTATCCCCTTTTTCTGTCCATTTCTTAAGGTGTGAGAGCTGTACTGAAAGGATGAAAGGCTGGCTTTATGTCAGTCATGAGCAGCTTCCGGGAGTCATTATCCATTGTCCATTAACCTATATTATGGGTAACTTTTTTTAAGAATTAAAAAATAGATAAATGTACATATTTCCGTGGAAAAAAATTATATGAAAAATAAACAAAGGATGCTGAAGATTTTTGCCCTGGTATTTTAACACCCAAGTAACTTAAGGCTTTAGAATTGAAGACACAATCTCTGTAGACTGTTACAATCTGTTCGGGAGAGGGTCAAAAGAAGGACATTATTTTGTGGGTCAAAAAAATGCTATTAATTTTTTATAAGAAATGCGTGGGTGCGTGAATGTGGGTGCATGCATGTGTATTTGATTTTTTTTTTTTTTTTTTGCGTTGTGTGCGTGCATTGTGTGCGTGTGCACATGTTTGGGTGTGTGTGTGTGGCTGCATGCATGTGCATGTGCATGCGTATATGTACGTACGTGTGTTATTACCAGGGTTGTTCTTACCTAGTTGTTTAAATGCAGGAAGAGAGCTAAGCTCAGGTGGTCCCATCTGCTATATTGAAATTGTTGTATAACTTTTTAAATTGACATACATTTTTGGGACACACTACATTTTATGGGAGACTGTTCCATGCTTCAGTAGTTCTGTTTAGAAAACTAAATTTTTTAACATCTTTATCACCTCTTTTTACTTTGAACTTTTTGTTTTGACCTCTTATCTTTCTTGTGTTCAAAATTAAAAAGTCATCTTTATCTATCTTCCCTCTTCCTGTAATACAGTTGAACAGCATAATCATGACCCCCTTTTTCTTCTTTCTTCCAAGGTAGTAAGTCCTAATTTCTGCAGCCTATCTTCGTAACTCAGATCTCTTAGAGTAGGTGCCCATCTTGTGGTCGCTCTTTGAACTCTTTCCAGTTTATCAATATCTGTTTTTAAGTCTGGACTCCATACCACTACACCGTACTCAAGACTTGGTCTTATGATTGCTATAATGATCTTCTTTACAATATCTTCATACACATACACGAATGCCCTCTTTATGTTGACAGTCAGTCTTATCAGTTTGTGGACCTTTTCATTTATGTGAACATTTGGATTTAGGTTTCCATTTATGATTACCCCAAGATCTTTTTCCAAGTCAGCTGTGTTTAATATTGCGTCTCCTAATTTGAAATTGGAATAGTGGGCGATTTCTTCTTTCTCCAAACCTGATTATGTGGCATTTATTGGTATTGAATTCCATTTTCCATGTACAGCTCCATGTCAATAAGTTGTCGATGTCACTTTGGAGGCATTGGCATGAGATGTTGTCTGTTATCCTTTTTTGTATCTTCACGTCATCTGCAAACATATTCAGATAATTACCTGGGCTTATGTTTGACTCTAAATCATCATTGAAAATAGTAAACATAATTGGCGACAGCACTGATCTTTGAGGCATTCCGGCTCACCATGTAGAATGCTTCTCTCTAATTACTTTAATAGTGTGCATGTGCATTCCTGCCTGTTACGCATGAGGAACAACTTAATATGAAAGTTACATTGTTCTTTGTGCCTTTGTGTGCGTGCATGTGTTTTTATCATTGTAAATTATAATTAAAAACATATTGAGGTTCTTTCCTTAAAACAAAAATGTAAATACCTGTTATGTTCCAAATGTTGACATGGAATTGCAGACAAAATACCTACTGTGTACGCTTCTTTCAACTGGATGTGTAACAATTTTGTCCATGTATTATGTGTGCACTCACACAAGATACATGGACAGTTTTGTTACACATCCAGTGCTGCTTCCTGTCACAGCAAGTGAGGGCAACAAAAAATTCTTTTATTTTTACTGATAGTGGCTGCTGTATTTTTGTCACCCATGGCTTGTGTGAACCTCTATTGGAAAAATGTGCAGTGTCCTAGTAGCAAACAGTATATAACACACCCTTGATACTTACGAGTGTCTTTGCAGGATCACGCTGGCACTTCATCCTGGTCAGTGGGCGAAGGATCTAGTGGTAAGTGATGACATTCTTTGTGAAAATATTATCAAAATGTTGTTGCTGAAAAGGAATAAAGAGTGAATTCATTAACAGTCTGATCTTGAGAACAACTACTTTTTATTTTACAATTGGTTCATGTCTTGAATCTAGGAGTGTATTTTGTTTAGAACATAGATGGCTTCAGAAGCACTTAATCACCAAGGAGTAGATTTATTGGTCTATTTGATCTCACTTGTTTACACTATTCCTTGAATTTTTGTGAAGGTAACTTTTTATTCTATTTAATGTTGATTATGTTGATAATAATTCCGTAATTATGATGATATTATAAAGTTGAAGATATTTTTTTTTTTATAAAATGGGATAAATAAGTGAGACCACGACCTGTAATTGACTCCTCGTGACTAAGCACTTGTAAAGCCATAACTCTTCCAACCATATTATTAAAGCCAGTGGACACATTATTTACCAACACAAGTAAATTGGCTTAAAGTTTAATACTATGTTCGGTCTTAATTTTCCCCCTTTTGAAAATATTTACTCATAGTTATTATATATAATACTTTCTCATTACTAGCATTTGGCTTAACTAAATTCTCATTTCATTTTTCAGAAACGGACAAGTTTAAGAAAGCAAAGGACGAGTCAGCAACAGTCAAGTCATAAGACCTGGAAGTATAGGCATTCCCAGTCTAACACGAGATGAAAAGCTTTGGCTCAAATTCATATCTCAGACATGTTTGCATTTCCTAGGTTAAAGTCCAAAGTCAGGTTTGAGTTCAATGCTCTTCTTGTTGCTGTGTGGCCTGTTGATTCCTCATCATTGTTGCAGATTTGCAGATATATTTGTTATATCTTGTAAAGTGGTCTAGTCTGATAATTATGGCTGTAGAGTGTTTTTTTTTTTGGTATTCCAGTTAATGAATAGTTATATTTATATATGCAATTTAGTTGGCTCCAGATGAAGCTTTTTTTTATGTCTTGAAACTGTATAGAGGACTCTAGGTAAAATCATCATGTTTTATTTTGTAATTATTTGTTATTCAGGGAATGTTATTACTATTTGCTGTGAATTGTACATATATATTTATATCCATATGTGTATACACAAATGTAAATATTTATCTTTGTATAATAAAAATTGTGAATGAAATAAGAGATTAATTTTCAACAGTAGTTTTTATTGTTCAAAAGTTTTCACAGACAATGAAAGACAAGTATAAAAAATATTTACAAGTAATCTTAACGGCCGTGAAAATTGTCTCCAGTTTTAAAATGGTCATTTCATATTCCACACAACATCTCCTTTACACAAATCACAACTCAACAATAAGCAGCTCACAACATCCAGGATGGTCTTCTGGTTTCTGCCTTGTACAACAATTATCCGAGGGGCAGCATTTAATATGAAGAAAGGCAGGATGAAGAGAAAAAAAAAAGTAATAAAAATAAATTTCTTGAAAATCCATAGTTATTTTACATTTAGAAAAATTTAAACAGATAAATATGTAGGTTATACCCAAGTTACATATATTTACATAAATCAGAAATGAAATGGCTTTCTGTTGACCTTAAATAAACAATTTAAAGTATAATTTTTACAACCTATGAGGAAATTACTTGTTCTTGCACCAAGTAATTTTATCTGGGATACTTTTATTGCTCTTTAAGTCATTTGCATTTTTATATGAAACCTGCTATAAAAATGAATGTTAAACAAAATAACCAATATATAAAATAAAAAAATGAATTCAAATTTAAAAATGCATTTATCTTACAAAGCCTGATAACAATGCGATGCTAGTGGAATATACAAAACTGATCAACCGTTTTCAAAATGGTCCCTATACACTTCAGTGCCATTTCCTATTTTCGATATGGCACATCACCTTCACAATAACACGTAAGCTTCTTTTTCACGAAAAGTCTGCACAAACTGCAAACTTTACTTTTTTTTGTTTGTTTCTTATATATTTTTTTTCTCTTTTCATTTCTTTTCTTTTTCAGAAATTTATGAGCTGCTGCACACAATAAAGAGATCAATACATAACTTTATTGACACTTGGAAGCATAACAGACATGTTCAGATCTAAATTCTTCCGGCACTTCATTCTTTTTTTCATCTTTTACCAAAATGTAGAGAAAAATTCAAATTATGAACACCTTTCATTTCTTCAAGGCAATTTTCTTTATATGTGTATCTTTATACATATATATATATATATATATATATATATATATATATATATATATATATATATATATATATATATATAATATATATATATAACACATATAAATATATAAAATCAATGTACTAACTTATGTGTTTGTGTACTTGAAGTGCTGTTCAAGAATTTTTAAACTGAAGATGTTAAAACTCACTGAATAAGATCATCTGACTAGATTAATAAGGATGAAATTTATGAGACGAGATGAGGCATTATGCACCCAGGGTGGTATTGAAGCAGGTGTTCTACCCTTGTTGGGTAAAACTTACCTTATGGAAGGACCAGCTGAGGTTAACAGTGAAGCCTCATCCCTGTCACATTCATAAGGCAGTATATATTATTATATCTATTTATTCACATGATAAATTGTTGATTTCATCCTCCTTGTATGATTAAAGACTGTTAGTGACACACAATACAGTTTCTTATCCTCTCATTACAATGGCGGCCACACAAAATAAAAGAAAATAATCAAATACCCGTCACTAGTTGATACTGCAGTGGCATTTACTACTGACATTAAGTATTGATGCCATATTACACAACATTACTGGTTTTCTGCTTCTTCTTTGTGCCTATAAGCTCAACCTGGAGGGGAGGTGCTGTTTCAAGTTTGTGCCAAAACCTACCATGACCAATTATTTTCAACTCGTAGGTTTCTTTCTCGCTCTCAAAGAAAAAAAAAAAAGTTTCAGAGGTTATAAATAAATACCTTTGTTACCTTATATGAAGGTTACTCTTTTGCAAAATAAACAGTTCAGATTATGAGATTACCTGTTGAAAGGTAATATTCAAGCCAGATAAATATTGATATTGATGTGCATCAGTAATAGATCAATTGCCTATAAAGACAATTACTTGCTTTAGAGTTGGTAGCTAATATTGTAAGAATAAACTATCAAAAGAATATTCTCACTTAGCTACCTCTCTCCCTTGGCGTACCAAGTCCATTACTAAAGACATTTCCCTTAAAGTGCTAAGCATAATATTAATAGAAATGAAACTTCCGTTATCACACCTCCACATGCATTACTGTTCCTGTCTCCTGCTTTAATGCCATGGACTCAAAATTGTTGAATATCTAACTAACCCTGTTCACACTTCACCAATCCTAGGAGATCTGAGACTGAGGCATGAACTGCAGCGAGATACATGAGAAGTCCATAGTAACTGAACACAAGAATTACCACACGTTGAGTTGAGCAGAGGATAATTCAAATGAAATAAATGTGAGCATGAATGTGCATCCTTTTTGGCAATCCATTCTCAAGCTGGAGCCCTACATTTCTTTGTAAAAATGGTTTATCTCCTATTCTCAACTAGCAAGCACTGATAACAATGCTTTTCTTTACACTTTTCATGAACCTGATGTTTTGATACTTGTAAGAAAAGGCAGTCACTGCTGCAAGCTGCCAAACTGCCAGGCTGGAATCTCTCTTTATGCTCACATCTACTTCATAAGTATAATCATCTTCAACTCATCCCTTAAAATGCTATATACAACAACAACAACACATTTGGAACACATCAATGTTAATGTTCTCACATAACAGAAGCCATCAACCTTGACTGCTGCATACGTACAATTCACACCGTTACACCACATACTACATCCAATGGTCTTTCTTCGTTGATCAAAATGACTACCAAATATGTCTTGATGATTCAGATACAGGACCATAGCTACAGTACACTGGGGAACTCTGATGCACCAAAAAATGGAATGTAATAATAGCTGCAGTAAACTATCAAGTTTTCAATTACCCTTACGAGGTCTTTAACATGCATTCACTTTGTGGGAAATTTATGTCTTTAGATTATGAATTAAAGCATTGATATTTTTGCTAGAGAGGTAGTGATAGTAACCCCATATTATCTAATGTGTTTACGTTTCCAGCTGTAAACTCCATTTCACTCCAAATAATCACAATATGGGCTGACCACCTATTTGAGCTTCCTGTCACACATTTAATACAAAGTTCATTCTTATCATGAAACCTAATAACCCTAAACAGAAATTTCAGATTTCACACCTTAAAACAAACTTTGCATATAACTAAATGCACTCAAATGCTTACAAGTTTGGATGCATCGAAAGATGAAAAGTTTATCTACAACAGATTCGATTGAATTTCTGCATAGGGAAAAGTATATAATAAATAAAAGTGAAAGAGCAAAAGACACTGAGAAAGAGAAGAAAATGATCTTGTACCAAAAGAACCTTCACAGTACTTGCCACACTGATACCATTATGAATCCGTATATGTTATTTGCTCTACCAATCATTTATTCACTCACTAAAGTGAGAGCAACCTCTACGTAACACCAAGCAACTGTACATTTCAATGCATATTTGTATAAGTATAATGTGTGGTGACCTGGACAATGGGGTCAACAGTTGCACAAGTATGAACTTTGTTTTAATGCTGAAACTTTATTACAAGAATGTACACCTAAATGATCCTTAGTGCAAGGAAATAAAACTGGGCCATTTTCATGATAGCAAAAGAAATTAACATTACAAACTGGACACCTTCATGTGACATATTGGAATATAGACAGCACATTTAACTCCATAAAGGAACGTCATTGTTCTCTTAATGGAAGAACCTCCCTGTCAACTATTATTGGCAACTTGAGTACAAGAAAACTGTAATCAGCAGTGTTACAAGCTTCATATGCCATGAATTACCTGAAGTTATTACTTGATGGCTAATTCAGAGAGCCGTCTCTTTCCGTGGAGTTGGTGTGTTCACATGGCCTGGAGCTGTGCGAGCCGAGGCTCCGCAGGATCCTGGAGTGGTGGGAAGGCTTGAGGGTGGACGGAGGCCATGCGTTGTCCTATGACGGGGTGGCCGAGATGCAGTAACATCCCGAGAAGGCTTGGCCTCCTGGATTTTTCGCAGCAAGATCTACAAAGAGAAAAATTGCATAAATTAAGCATGTAATCACACAGCTTGAGGGACTTGATAATTATAGGCTACATCCCCCCCCCCCCTAATACTAACAAATTCATGTGACTAGTTCATAAATGGACTAGAAATGGAATTTTGATACGGTACTCCTATGATATGGGCTCCCAGGGTTCATTTCTTATCACAGGATGCCCTGTTAGGATAGCTTAGCTTTGGTGTTCTTAAATTAGCACCTGACATTCCTAAAACACATGGCAAAATATTAATCAATATAAACTCATGCTGTGAGTACTTATGTCAAAAATACACCAATAAAACATATGAATTATGAGAGAGCGTGAAAGTAACTGTATATTTTCAGACACTAAACCTGACCATCTAAATATATAAACAAACAAACACACACAAACCTAGTTATTCACAATCATTCCAAATTAAAAAGATAAAATCCAAGAGTTTCACAGTTATATTGGAAGCTTGTGTTTTTACACAATTATCTTTGTAAGCGTGTTAACCTACTTCCTAAATCACCATAACAACACAATAAAACTATATTTTAAAAAACTGAAATGTACATAAACTTCAGAGCACTAAAAGACTTTGTTTTATGTTATCTGTATTGGATGTAGCCCATCCATTTAGATGATCTATACACACAAATTACAAACATACAAATTTGCATACCCTGCCTTTGAGAACTACTACAGAAACATAATAAAAATGACTTAATGCTACTTCAAGACAAAGAAAATCTGTAAATCTGCATCAATATCAAACAATTATATTCTTCTATATCAAAGTCTATATATAAGAAAACAACTCAACATATTTTCATTTGTTTTGTTTTGAGATAAAAAAAAAAGAAAAAAATCAGTAATAGATCCTCAACCTGACTGCCTAGCTTTGCTGTGAAATCCCCTAGAGTTTTTCCATCTTTTTCAAAATGCCACAAAAATTCCCATCAATTTCCTTGAAAATCACTCTTTCTACACTGAAACAAAAGCTTCTATGATTTCCTATTATGCACCAACAAAGAGGGTTTCTTCAGAGATGAAATTGGTTGTCTGCACAATAACAAAACATGAGAAGCTCTGAGAACAGCAGTAAAACCAGTCTTTCTGACATACATACACACTAAATTCACTTCTTGTAATCACACAATTGCACAATATGTATTTCTAACTGCCCTGAATCATAAATTGTAACTTGAGAAACGTGCAAATAAGAACTCTGACAATGTTAACAAACTAACTCTTGTTTCCTCATAAATCCACAAAAAATCATAAATTAATGGAGACAAGTTTACTAAATACAGATATCCAAGAGCCGTATGACATAATAAAACAGATTTTGCTTGAACAGAACAAAGCAAATAACATTTGAGGAACTAAGCTACAAGTCCATATTTCAACATCAACCTGATTTTTACAGAAACTTCACATAAAGATTCTCACAATACATATATATATTTCTCATAACTATACATATATTCCATTCTAGATGGGAATATTTTCAAGCAAGGACTACTTTCAACTTCAAAAATAACTTCATTTTTTATTTACTCCACTCTCTCCCACTCAGTCTCTGATAATGCCACCTCTTGAAGCTCAATAATGACCACATCTCTCTCTCTCATTCAGAATTTCTTTGACAAAATATACTGTACAATAAATGGCCTTTAAAATCCCTCCCTTTGAACTTCTCTTCATACTAATAATCTTGCAAAGACATCCATTAAAACACCCACAGAACTTATAGCATTGGTACTACTTCAACTTAGACTTTTACATGTACTACTGTTAATGATGATAGTGATATCAAAAGAACACGAACAGCAATGGCAGCAAACTCACCATGTTTTCCCTGCGAATCTTCTCGTCTTCTCTCCTCCTTGTCACGGTAGAGTTCGCAGGTCTGTGGACGGACCGGCTGTTCTGGTTGGAAGAGTTATGCTGTCTGCTGCGGTTGTGTGCCGACATGATTTTGTGCAGGAGGATCTGGTTCTCACGGTCGATTCTCCGCACTTCGTCATTGGAGAAGGACATGTTCTTCCTCCTGTGGTGCGAGCTGCGAAGGTGACTGTGGTGGGGACTGGCGTCAATGGGGTGGATGGTGATGGGCGACGAGGGCTGATTGAGGTGGTACTGCTGATTGTGGTACTGGTGGTTGTGGTACTGGTGGTGGCCGTTGGAGCGGCGGTTCCTCTGCTGCTTCCTCTCCAGCTCCACCACTGCCTTCAGCAACAGGGTCATGTCCGTGGAGTCGTCACTGTTGCTGTAGCCGTTGCAGTGCGGCTGGGAGTCGTAGCCCTGGTCATGCCCGGGGCTGTCCTCCTCGCGGCACTCGAGGGCCAGGTCCCTGTTGTCGTGCAGTGCCAAGGGGGACGTGCCCAGGGCGCGGCGGGGCAGGACGGGGGACAGGCCCAGGGGACTCGCCGTGGCAGAGATCAAGGGGGACACATCGGTGATGTCACTCTCACTATCACTGTCACAGTCGTCGTAGCTGCTGTCACTGTCACTGCTGTCCGTCTCCGAGGACAGGTTGGAGTTCTCGCCGTCCATGTACATGAGGGTGCCGCGCTCGATCAACCTGTCCACCTGAGACTTGGGATCGTCATCATCACTGCTGTCACTGTGATCCCCGTCCGTGTCACTCACGTCACTCTCCTCCCACTCGTCAGAGCTGTAGGGGCTGGGGTCTACTCGTTCCATGGCTGCTGCTGCGCTCGCCTTGGCTGCCTCGGGGGAACTCGCACTACCTGCCTGCCCTGCGCTGGGGCTCGCACTGCCACTCCACCTTTTATCCTCGTCCCTCGCCACCTCCTGCGCTCCCTGCTGACCTTCCGACGGCCCAGCAGCAGGAGAAGAAGTGTCCTCCACACAGCGGTAACGGGAGTCCAGCCCCGACCTCGCGCCAGGTGAGGAAGCCCCGCGAACCGAGCTCAAGCGAGCGGAGCCACTGACCATTTCACTGCCTTTCGTCCTTTCTAACTCGTCATCACTGTCGAAAAAACCAAAGTCCACTTCACCGCGAATGTCTGGCTCGTACTGCGTGTCGTTCAGTCCTATTTTGTGAGCCATGCTGCCCCGGACACGGGTATTATAGGAGTCCCCCGCCAGCCATCGGTCCGCCAGCCTTCCCAGCCGCTGCCATTGACTGCCTCACGCCTGCCAACCGCATCCGTGACGTCACGCCTCCTCGCCCTTCTCTACTCGTAGATTCTCGTCTGATCGATCATTTTTCGAGTTGGTAATTCCCACAGAGTTCTTTTCCACTTTGGATATCCCGTCGGCTGTGAAGATGGGGAAAAAGGCGTTCGTTGTAATAAATACGTACTACAACGACATCGTCCATGTTGGCACCGCCGTAGTGACGTCAAAATGGCGTCACGGGTGGGCGGAGCTTATGTGAATCATGTGTAGAACAACTAACAAAATCTCTGACAAAACCATTTTCCCAAGAACGGATCTGCTGAACGGTTTTTCCAACAAGCGAGTCTGATAGGCTGATATTAAATTATCAGTCAGTAACAAGAATATATATTTTCCGCACCACTCTGAGTCATGGCGAAGATCTGTTATTCCGTATTTTCCTTAGTTTCCTCCTGTTGGCTTTACTCAAGTAATGGACTTGGGTGATTTTGTGAGCTGTAAGCGTGAATGTGAAAACGGATTGTAACTCGAGAAAAGTATGGATCTGATGAGAAGAGTATCAAGGGAAGACCAGGTAATTCTGCGACTGACAAAAAACGATCTAAATTTTCAAAATATTGTTGATTTACCCCTCAAGGCAACTTTTGGGGTTAATGACCTAAATACGACGGTTAAGGTTAAACCAGAGTACACCCTCCCCTCTATCATCCATTTCATAGAACAAAAAGTCTTTTTGTTGGTGTGCAATTCGTAGGAGTGCAACGCTAGCGAGTGCTGTGATATGCCTTCAAGTCTTCTGGAGTGATGTGTGACAAACCTCGAGTCAAAATGTGTCAAGGGTGAGAGAACCCAGGGAGGCTGCGGTCGAAGAGGGTCAGGGTGATGCTGACGCTCTCTTGAGATAAGGTGTTCGAACATCTAGGGTGAGGTAGAATGACTTTTGTCTGCAAGGTCTTGAGCGTGTTCAACCGAGCATCGCTGTGGTGATGGCGGTCGCGGCGCAGAAAGTGTTGCGGCCGCTTATCTTTTGCCTCGGAGGTCTCGCCTGTGGTGCGGTGGCTAAGTTCATGATTCATGATCAAAGCCTGCCGTGGTTCATGCCGTGATGGTGGGTGTTATGGTGGCGAGGGGCTGAGATAAGGATAGTGAAGGTGCAGGGAAGCAAGACGAAGGTGGCAGTTACGAGCGCCTGCGAGCGTCCGGCTGAAGGCAACGTTAAGATTATCGACCATATGGACTTCTCCCCTCCTCCCTTTTCACCTCATGTCCCCAAACCCGCTGTGCAACTAGGGTAACCACAGAGACGTCGCTCCCCGCACGATTCGAAACCCAAGGCTGGAAACACATATCTACCGCCGTTTTTGTCTGCCTCTCGCTCTCATTCAAGACCACAAGTCATCGGAAAAAACATTTAGGAGATCATGAGAGATTGCGTCTGGCGGCCGGGCTCGGACAGGGCTGGCAAGCGGGGAGGCAAGCCTTGTCTTGGGCTGAGGCTGGCGTGGGTGCCTTGGGGGTTGGGCAATGGGGTTTGGGGAATCCGTGACGAGGACGGCATGAGGTTACTCGGTGGCCTGCACGTATGAGCATAAGCAGCAGGACAGCACGACGGCGTCTCTGTACGAGGTTGGGTGGAGAGGATGTTCACACGTCACCGCAGCTCCCTCCTGACAAGTGATGTAACTGTTCATGATTGTGAAAGGCCGATAGTGGGTCGTGGTTACTCCAAGACAATACTGTGATGCTAACGACTAAGGATTGGTTCTCTTCTGTCTAAAGAATGTCGGTGGAGTGCTTGGCGGTTTTTTCCAAGGCAAGCATCAAATGTCAGGGGAATAATTCTTGTCATTGAGCGTCCGGAGTTGACAGATTATC